CTGGCAGGGCTGGGATGACTCCTGGCCAGGAAGATTCTCCGTGCTGCTCTCACCCTGCTGCTCCCCGGCCCCTCGCAGGAGTTGCTGTACCCCAGAAATGCTGGGAAGCTCCTCCCGCGCCTTTTTCCAGGCCGCTTCCTCCCCGGTGAAGCCCCAGCGCGGGCAGGTCCTAATTGGCTTTAATTGAGTGTGAAGCGCGTCCTCAGGAGGGTTTKAATGTCACACCGAGGGAGGGCTCGGGAGCAGGAGCAGCCCCGGCGCACCCTCTGGTCCCTGCCTGAGCTGGGATCTCCTGGCTGAGTCTCCCCAGTCCCGGCTCCTGGCGCTGCTCAGTGCCCGTAAATCAGTGGCAGCGGCACTGAGGGACACAAGGAGTTATTTCTGACTGCTCCGGGGCACTCTCAGCTGCAGCGCCATTCCCACTCCTCCAGGAGCTCCTCCATCCTCGTCTGCTCTKCTGTTGCTTCGGGAGTCCTGTCAGAGCACAAACCCTCTGGCAGCTTCCTCGAAAGGCTGGGGAGCAGCGCCGTTTGGAATGGGGCTGTTTTCATTCCACAGCTCCAGGCATCTGATCCTGCCTCTGAAGGGGGGAACAGTCTSATCCCCCTCCTCTCCCACAGCACTGCCCAGGCTCAGCGAGTCTCCAGCAAAGTTCCACCCCAAAACCACAGAGTGAGAGCCACCAACACATATAAATATTTATTTGTACTAGAAGTGAGTGTTTCATAGCAGAGTATCGAGTTCAGAATATATTAAATCATGAGATGCATCGGTTGAGGTACAAATTCCAGTCTCATATCTTTAATAAATACACTATAAAACCGTGTTTTAATCAGAGGTAATCAGGACACAACTCTGGTTTAAAAGGATCACACAACATCTGTGCTTTGTTGTGACCACCTGGAATTACTGGTGGGGATTTCAACGCTGGATTATTTTATAATGAGCAGCAGCAGTGCTGTTYCACCCCTTAAAAATCCTAATGGGAATATTGCTTTAGGCTGCCAGGTCCCTGCCAGAGGGCCCGAGGGGATGAGGGTGGTGCTGCTCTCAGCTCCCAGAGGCTGYAGCATTGTCCTCAGCGTACAAAACAGCTTTGAGCCAAATACTTTAAAAAGTGACTTAAAAAGCCACCTAAAAGGACTTTTCGCAAGGATATTTTCCAGTCACAGATGAAGATGAATCCTGCCCTGGCCACAGCAGGRTTTAGCTCACAGCATCCTGCATGACAGGCGGGAGCGCGTTGGTTCTAACGAGCGTGGATCCATCTGCAATTAAAACCGGAGCCCAAGGAGCGAGGAATGCRGGTTCCTGTGCCCTGGGAATGCATCCCGACCGCTGCCGGGGCGCTGCTAACGGGGCCCAGGTGCAAAAATCACGTTTGCTGTGATTAGGCCGTGCTTCCGTTGTTTCCTCTGCTGAATGCTCCAGCCGGGGATCAGCCCTGCCCGGGGAGCCCTCACCCGGCACAGGCAGAGCCCCCGGGTCGTGTCACCGCTCGGTCCCCTCGGAGGAGGGTCCCTCCCCTCGCAGGAGTCAGCGAAAAGCAAAGTCCGCGGCAGGACGAGGGTGAGGACGGAGATAAAGCCCGGGGAAACTCCGCACAGCCGGAGCCGGGAGCAGCAGCACCAGGGCTCTGGCTCAGCACCAGCACCCCCGGGGCTTTCCTGCCACCCTCTGGCTGTCCCCATCCCGCAGACACCGAGCAGATCACGGCCCCTGCACCCCACAGCGGTGTGGATGAGGGCAGGAGCTTCAGCCTCCTCTCAGCTGGGGCACCAGACCCACCTCGCACGGTGCCTTGCCTTGGATGTGCCTCTGGGATGGGAGGAGKGAGAGCAGAGSGGGGAARGRTCCCTAAAAGCACCGGGACAGCATYCCCGATGTCTCCTTGCTGTCCAGAGCGTTCTCAGCCATCTCGTGGCTGAACGTGGAGCACCAAGAACGCTCAGCCTGGGATTTGTTTGACCAGAGAGGCCAAGCAGGAGGAAGGAAGCAGMGAGGAATTGGCGGTGGTCACGGCTGGTTTTAAAAAATCCTTTTAAAAAAGGGCATTAAAAAAACTTCTGCTGTTCACGAGCAAAATCTGTCTAAGGCACAACGTGGAAAGACACTTCTTGGTTTCTGCTCCGGGCAGGATTTATCCCGCTCCGAGCTCCCTGCTCTGGGGGCACCGGGAGCTGCTGCGTGGCCCTGGCAGCACCACAGCGATCCCGGGAATGGGGGGCCCGCTCCCCATCCTTCCAGCTCCGTGGGACACTCCCAGCAGCTTCAGGGGGAGAAGGATCAGGCTCGAAGGATTTCTGATTGGTAAAAACCGCTCTGACCCAGGAGGGAAACTCCCACTGTCAGAGCACTGGAAATGCCAAGTGATCAGCGTCATAGGGAATCAATCAATCATTGCTCACTCTTAATACAGCTATTTCTGGGCAGGAGGAGGATGAGGAGGAGTTAATTYTTCTTTTCCAGTGACTGGTAGTAGGCGGTGAGGACTTTCCAGGCTTTGGGGGCCATGAAGCCATCTGGGGGGTTCTCCCCTTCCCGAGCAAGCTTCCTCATGCGCGTCCCTGAGATGAAGTCAAAGTCGTCATGCCTGTGCAGAACAGAGACAAGGGACATCAGAACAGCTGG